ACATTCATTAATGTCTTGAAAGAAAAGTCAAAAATATAGTCATGCAGAAAATTGTCATTTAATCAAAGATGTTAAAACTCCTCAGTAATTTGTTTTATAGTACAAAATGTGTCTGAAAAAATTTCAGATCATGTTAGTGAATCAGGATTCGTGAGTCTGGTTCTCTTGTGACACAGGTATCATTAACTGGTTTGGCATTACTGTAGTTTAAAAAAAAAATCAGGACCGCTATAGAAAACATTTTCTCAGCTGATTCCAACTTGACTCTGTGTTAAGGACATTCAGTGCTTCAGGACACTAACAGGTGTTAGAGGAGGAAGAATTCGGAGATAATCATCTTAGTGGTTATCAAGCTGGAGGCTCAGCAGCCACTGGGCAGGGAAAGGTAAGATAAATTCCATAAGCCATTATCTCTTCATCTTAAAACTCATGACTTGCTCACTACTTGGATGTTCATAAGATGGAAGCAAAGGTCCGGATGTCTGGTACTCAAGGTTACATACATTGAGAGGATGTAGCAAGAAGAGCACTGACATTTAACCTCACAGCTCCTTGGGTGGTCTTCCTCTCACCGGATCCTGAACCTCTGTGTTCTCCCTCTCAGGAAAAAGCAAAATGCTTGGGTCTGTTTTCAACATTTCCTTAGTCTCTGCAGCTTGCAGAAGGTGGTTTCTATTACTGCCTGGAAATCACCTAGAGAAGATGGAACCCCATAGCCAGAGTACTGTAGCACCCATAACTTCATTCTAAAAACAAAACAAAACAAAACAAAAACTGTAGTTTCCTAGTCTTTGAGGCTTAATGTTTAGTACAATCAGGAAGGCAAGTAAGATTCAGAGGAGTCAGCAAAAGTCTGGGGCTCAAATCTTCCCAGGGTGAGTTGAGTCACACAGCTATGAAGCAACATTATGTCTGAAGCACACATGAGATGGAAAACAAAGAGATTGTCATGGTTTCCATAGTTACTGCTGGGAATAGAAAGATACAGAGTTAAATGAAGTGGGCCAGCAACACAGTTTTACTACAAGATACACAAAAAGGGCATGGCAAATAGAAGAAGCAAAAATGTCCCAGAGTATGTGACGTAGGTGGGAGAATGGTGGTGCCTTGAACAAGGTCAGCAGACACAAGAGAAGCAGTTTGCAAGGGAAGAGGGCAAGTTGTGTGAGACTCACAGGTCTCAGGGCCTGAAGTCCATGCAGCTGTCAGAAGCCGGGAAGAGGATGTTTAGTAAGGAGAGGCAAGAGAGCCTTATGGTTCATCTCCATTATAAAGAGAACCTCATGTGTTAAGTGTTCATGGAGTGATTTACATTAGGATTTTTTTTCTTATAAAGAGAGATTTATCACAGTATGTGAATTCCATACCTGAGAAGTGTGACCCTGATTCTGGCTTGATTTTTTTAAGGCCATGGCTATCCTTCAGAAGTTGCATCTTCAATTAGTCCTTCACAAAGCCTCAGTGACCTTTAGGTGACATAAGGAGTTGGAGATGATGACCTCGTTTAATCCATGTGTGTCAGTTCCAAACGTTCCCATCTTATACTTTTTTCAATTTAAATTTCACTTTATTTCAGTATTCTAATTGCTAAGCTTGTTAGAGGCAATGTGTTATTTTAGAACATGCAAAAACAGGAAGATGTTTTTACAGCTAGGAAAAAAATATCCAACCCCCAGGAACCAACCACTGTTAGATATTTCCCTACTATATGTGTGAGAGTCCATATACATGTGTACTTATATTTGTGCTTGTGTATTTCTATGAACACATACACACAAGATGAAAATTATTTTATAGATGAAATATAAATATAGATTTTCTAATGTCATGACTTAATGATATATTCTATTTTATACTTATTTTTTCAGCTACTATATTATTAAAAATGGCTCAGAGTGTTTTATATGTTTATGTTCTGTATAATATTTCATTATAAGAACCTGCCATAACATCATAGTGTCTCACACTTCAATGTCCTCAGCTTCTGCTCTCCACATCTCTTTCAATGAGAGTTTTAGATGGAGTCGTGACAATGCCTTTGTGAAAATACACAAGTGGTCAGGGTTATTGAAGCAATGGAAAATGAGTAGTTTGTGTTTATGTTGTGCCTTTGTGATAGGTTTTTTTTTTAATTGTGTCTGATTCTGGCTTGATTTTTTTAAGGCCATGGCTATCCTTCAGAAGTTGCATCTTCAATTAGTCCTTCACAAAGCCTCAGTGACCTTTAGGTGACATAAGGAGTTGGAGATGATGACCTCGTTTAATCCATGTGTGTCAGTTCCAAACGTTCCCATCTTATACTTTTTTCAATTTAAATTTCACTTTATTTCAGTATTCTAATTGAATACTTCTTCTTCCTCTCCTGCCCACATATTCTGTGACATATCTGAATGTATACACACAAACACACTCACATCTAGACCCAAACCTGGAGAGATTTTCATCAAGTCCCTTAATGGCTTTCTTTTCCACCATCCTTCATGATATACACAACCTGAGAACAAAAACAATGTGTCTTAACGGTGAGCAATGATTGCCTTCCCTCCACTACAGCGTAGTCAAAGATCATGGCTGTGGCCGGAGCCCCAGGAGGGAGCAGAGCCAAGGCTCACAAATATGCATTTGGAGGGCTAGACAGAGCACCATTGTTTTGCTATCTTTCTGTTTTCACAGGTGCCACAGAGTCATTTTATGAGTCTTCACTATGACCCATGCCACAGAAAGACAAATAGAGCTAAAGTGTTGCTGGAACCAGGTTTAAAGCACCTTGCTCAAACACAAACCTGATTTCTAAATCAGCCCAAAGTCTTGACATCTCTGTACTCCCCTCATTTATCCCCTTTCTTCACTTCAACTTGTCTTGTTCAATGTTACTGTCTCCATTTCAAATATCATCAGCTGATAAATCAGTTACAAGGATCTGCAACAGTCCATTCTCATATTGAGGATGACAAATTGTAGCCATAAATTTTTCCAGGGGAGAAGGCAGTGGTATGCATTTCCAAATTAGAAATTGATATAGAAATGAATAGATACAGGAGTTAGATTAAAAACCTAACTTCAGTCTATTTGATTTATACCCTAATTCACTTTTATTAAAAAGCAGTATATGTCCAAAGTTTTAAAAAACTTTGAGACATTGGCATCCTTTAAAATACTATCATTTTAAAAGGAAAATTCTCTTGATTATTAGATAAAAACATTATTAAAAAGAGATCTCATTTCTAACAAAAGCCAGGATTAAGCTGTTATCAGAAGAAGAGAGAAAAGAATGGGATGTTTAACTTCACAAGCAGGGACAAAAATTTAATATTTTAACCATGTTGTTGTGGTATTAAAGATCTTTGCAGTTCTGAGCATGCCCATAGCAGCCTCCTCCTCATAACATAAGGTTAACATGTGCAGGTGTGCTCACTCCTTTACATGCCAGGCAAATTTCATCAGAAAATAGAAAATAGTCAAATGAATAAATACAGAAGGTGTGTTTATTTATGCACTTCTATAAAGTAAATAAGTGAATAGACATCCCATCCCGGGAAATCTGTCTCTACAGCTCTGTTTCTGCTTGCTCTGAAACACATCTAGATTCTCTCATGTGTCCCCTTATATTTCAGGTTTTTAGAGCCTTGTGGTCAGTCCTCTTTTACTTTCTTTCTTTTCATGACTTTTAGTCAATACTTCTTGTTATCTGATCCATAGCAAGTCCAGCCCAATCTTTCTACTCAAGTGCTTAGATTTGCTAGCTATGTATTTAAAACTGTGATGCCATCCCATGTCAATTGATGGGATCAAAAAAGAAATCTATTTATTTAAATGTAAGTATAGACATAATGAATATGTGTCAAATATTATGTAGATATGTAAATATATACACGTCTCCCAAAGATACAAACAGAATGTACGGGTCTCTTTAATGTTCAAGAGAGGCTCTCCCTATCACTGGTCATGAAAATAAACCATCTTCTGTTGTCTGCCCTTCCATGCTTGGCATCTACCCTGAGCATCCTCATAGCCCACTCTTGATGGAGGCTCTGCTGCTCCAACTCTTCTTCAACAGCCTAAGTAGTAAGAATTTTTCACAATCCAGGGGACCAGTCTTCAGTAAGGACCCAGTCTTAACAATGGGAGGGATTAGCTGAAATCAAGAAATTGGGTAATGTGGTGCACCTTCAGCACAGCTCATGCTGTCCTTTCAGCTACACAGCGTGGAATGCCCTTTCTTGTGGCTCTTTGGCCATGACTTTGTCTCTGAACCTCATAGGTTTCCCAGGCCACTAATTGCAGCCATAAGAGTCACAATCATCATGATAAAGCAATTATCCCTGTCAAATAATTTATAGACAGAAAACTTTCATATTTGTAAGCAGTTTCATTACTTCATTTTGGTAGGGCGTTTTTCTCTTGCTAACCATGGCTTATAACATTTGGTAGTTCCTCCCTCCCCTTTCTAAGACATCCAAGTGGCTCCTCTCCAGATATTGTAAATCTTTAGATCTGCCAGGAATAGAAGCTTATTTGCTGATGCATGTTACAGTCTTGTCAGTTCTGTGGTCCATAACCTCCTGCTTACATAGCTTTCTCTTTCATCAAAAGTGAGACAGTAACTGTAATTGCTCAATGGGCATCTGGAAGTAACATTAATAATGATGGTAATAATAATGACCTCATAGGATGGATAATTTGGGGGATTAAAGAACATTTACAAGCTTATTGTGCCATATAGCTAATGATGAGGTGCCAAGGTTTCTCACCACCTCCCTTTCCAGTGGTATTTCCTGCTTGGATCAGAGGACTAATTATAGAAAATAGTGTCTTCTAAGAGCTTTCCCCAGCCCACAGCATATGCTATCATAAAGATCGAACTGTTTCAGTGTTGTTTTCAGAGATGATTTATGAATGTTGTTTTGCAATTGTATAAAAATGTGTATGATGTAATCATTTAGTGTTTATTTATTGTGTGTACCTTCTACTCAGAGGGTTGGCATTATTGTTCCTAACAGTGACGGATACAAGCAGATCATGCCTTATGACCTCTACCATCCCCTTCCTCGGTACGTAAATCAATCATCGTGATGTTAGAATTAGCACGTCACTCTTCTGATGCTTTAGTGTATATGTATAAAAATGTAGAGCTGTAGATCTGTTTTTCTACAAATAAGATGGTAGATGGTAGACTTTCAAATCCATTCTGAGCTCTCCTCTTGAATAATCCTGGCCTGCTGAGATTGTAAGCTTGTCATTCAGAAACCATTTTGATGGAGTCACTTTTCATTGGAGTGGACACAGTAACTCACTCTAATTAGCTACAGTATGTCTCTTTATGCCGTGTCTCTCTTTCACTCCCTTTTCACTGCCTCTCTGGCTCCTCTGAGTAGGAGCCTGGTTATCACAGAGCCACTGCTAACTTAAACAAACACTGCCTGATGGGTGGTCACAACACCATAAATATGAAATTCCAGGCATGGAATTATTCTAATAGGGGCTTCAGGTGCCCTTCCTTTATTTTTGAAGAATTATAATTTGTTAAAGACAATTTTATATCCTTATTGTTCAGAACATTTTACAGAGTAAGTTTCTTTTTCAACACATAAAGATCAATTGCTACATTGTTTTGTTAAAGTATATTTTAAAAACTAGAAAAAAAGGTTATTCAAATATGTTTAAAGGACTTTTTATCTTTATATTTGAGAGAAAAACTGGAGTTGCTAAGAAATGTATTAGTTGCCAGTTGTATTGCTTGCCCGGAAATAGCTCTGCAGGTAGCAAAAAATAGAATTAGTTTTAAATAGCTTTGCTGTTTTCTTTACTAATTTGCCCCCCCCCCCCGGGAGTCAGCTGCTGTTTAGGGTCCTGGGTTTCTATGAGACCATGAGCAGTTAACATAATCTATATTAGTTTGCTAAATCCTAAACTACAGCATGCAGAAAAGTAACTGTATTTTGAACAGCAAAATTTAGTAAATTTAATTGCTAGTCTCTGAATCCTAACATATTAGAGTCTAATTGGATGCTAATCCAACTGTCCAGTGATATGTCCTTCTCATAGTCCTAGCTCAGCAATCATGCCCACAACCCAGATAAGTAAATATGCATGTTCACACAAATAGGAATTAGTGTGTTCTCTGTATGTATTTACACATGTATAAATACATATATAGGTATTTTCATGTTGTCCAGTATCTAGTTAAAAATGTCCAGTGACTGGCAGGAGACTGTCTTGTCACTGTCCTAGGAGCCATGTGCAAAAGGAGATTGAGTGACACTGGATACAATTATTGCAAAATGTGTCACTAAATGGCTCCCTCACCAGTCAGCTTGCTCCCACCTTGCTGTAATTGTGCTGATAAAGACAGTAAGGGACCTCAGAATCCCCCTTAGGTATCTTTTTCCAGAAGTCTTCTCCTTGATAGTGTACTGAAAGAAATCAAAAGATAAATACAAGTGAGCCAAGATTTCCCTTCCTGGGTCTGTGAAGTAAGTATTCCTAGGACATGTGCTTTCTTTGTATGGAGGAAAGCCACGTATTTTAAATTAAAGGTAAAGTTGGGAGTCAATGTGAACAACACTGAGTGTATGTTTCTCCTATCAGGAAATCTCTAGATTCCTGTCATCTTCTATGACTTTTCTCTTCTTTTTTTTCTGGTGCAAGTAATACCTTTCATATGGTAGTCTTGACTTCTTATAGAATGAAACTTCCCTCAAGTGTCTAAAATCTGGTGCTGCCTCATGCCTATGGTCCCACTTACTGGTTTCTGCACCATGCCCTGTTTACTTATTTGATGTGTCTATTCATCTCAGCAGAAAATGACAATGCAGTTAGCAAACAGGCTGCATTTCTCGGCCCTTGTACTTCTCTTTTCAAGTACTACAAAAGATACAAAGTCGGCTTCCCGGACAAAGCTCTAGTAAATGGCAGCTGTTTCTAGAAATGTGTTTCCATTTAACAAAATTAAAGCTCAAATAGCTCTCCAACAGCAATTCCTTGATAATTGAGGCAGAAAGCTTCACTCTAAAACATTTAAGTAGGCTTCAGACAAGTAGAGATACAGCACACAGTTAATACATTTTAGGGTCTTTCCTGCTTTCTGCCTTTGACAGCGTAAATCTCAATGTAAGTCTCATGATGAACTAATTGATTGACAATGAGCTCCTTGCTGTCTCTTTTGCTATATCCTTTTTAATTTTGAAAAATTCTTAAACTAAACATGGTATGGGTTTAAGGTCATTAAAATCCAAGTACATTTAAATATATGGCATGTAAATTTATTTAATAGTCTTCTAGGACAAGATTTTTTTATATGTATTTTCTTTTATTTGGTAGTATTCACCCTGGTCACTGTTTTAATATCTCTTGACAAAAGAGTGTCATCTCTCGTCTTTCATTAGACTTTAACTAAATATGTTGTGCTTTAAAGTTCCCTATGGCCTCATTCTTACATGACGCTATGTCACACACAGACCTGAATTTGTAAGCTCAAGCCATGCTATGAGTCTGCCAATTAGTATCATCCTCATCTATCTTGTGATCGGCGACACTGAGAAGAGTGCCTGCATTCATTAGTGAAGTTGCGTGGCTGAGACAAGTGTTGAGACAGAAATCAATCATTCTCCCTTTCATGAGAGGTGAAATTTCAAGGTTTTAGAGCGCCCATTAGAAAATGTTTTCCCTTACAGAATTGCAATCATCTAGGTGATTAAATATCCATTAACATATTGCTGCTTCACTATCAGATTAAATGTAGCATGAGTATACACTTATGTATTCAGCCCATCTTCAGTCTGAACCAGGCCTGTTCTCTACCTCGAGAAGGAAGTCATGCAGAGATTAACTGGGAGGCAAGTAGAGCTGCCTTATCCTTTGGCAAGGAGAACTGTGCAGAACCAATTCATTCCCTTGAAATAACTTTTATGCAATCTCCCAAGGGTTAAAGAACCTCAGTTTCCCCATAGTAACATTTTTGATGTGTCTTCTGGGGGAAAATACTGGATTGGGCAGCATAGTTTGGCTGTTGACAGTGAAGACAATGGTGTGCCTAAACCCAACAGTGCAGACAAATGTGTTAGAAACTCCTCTAACATCGGAAACATACAGTATTATTCTGGTTCCTGCAGAAGAGAAATCAAGCCCACAACACATGTGAAACTTACGTATAGAATAATTCCAGTTTTCATGGGCTGCCGGCTGCCTGTGCAATATTTACAAATGCAGCTATCCAGGTGTGTCAACTCAGGGAGGTTATGGTTCTTTCTCATTAAAATGAGATCTCTCATGAATCTTTAAGAACTCTTAAAGCTCCATACAAACCCTAACTATCAGAATACATGTAAGAAACAAGCATGGCTCGCTCAGTGCCTTGCTGCTGTAAACAGGAGTTCCACATGTCTAAATCTGCAGGAGGAGAGAAAAGAATTAGGTAAAGATCTGGTCCCAAATGCTACAAAACTGAAAGAAAGAAAAAAAGAAAGAAAGGAAGGAAGGAAGGAAGAAAAAGAAAGAAAGAAAGAAAGGAAGGAAGGAAGGAAGGAAGGAAGGAAGGAAGGAAGGAAGGAAGGAAGAAAGAAAGAAAGAAAGAAAGAAAGAAAGAAAGAAAGAAAGAAAGAAAGAAAGAAAGAAAGAAAGAAAGAAAGATATTAAATTCTCTTAAGCTTCACTGGCAGTCTTCTTATTCTCTGCCTTAACTTAACAGCATTATCTCCGTTCAGTCGCCATAAGCCTTTCAACCGAAACTAAGCATGTTTACAAGTCAAGGAGTTCCTTACTGGAGGACATTGTGGGTCTGTCACCAGCTAGAGAGTAATAGTGTTATTGGCACTTCTGGTCCTCAGCCTACACACACTTAGCATAGTCTAAGCACCCAGCTTGTGCTGAGTGTGTGGAATCCTGGAGCTGACAGTGACAGAAGGGAGGAAGAAAGAGCTTTTGTGTAGGGAGATGTGTCTGAGCTTCTCCTATTAAAAAAAAAAATCCAGAAGTGATAAAGCAAAACGTTAAAGATAAAAGTATCCACCCAAATGGAAAACGCTTGTATTCATTGCTTATTTCAGTTTTAGACTTAACGGAAATATTTAGTGCAAGGTAATTAAACTTTAATACATATGTAAGTATATGCACATGTATGTATGTATGTATGTATGTTATATATACATATATATACATATACATATATATGCAGAAATTACAGAAAGAGGACTACAGATTGAATCTCCATTGTAAATAGGTTACAGACAGCCCAGACATCCGGTGGTTTGCTCCCCAGACTGTAATCTCCTATATCTGTGCTGAGATTTGAGGCTTATGAAACAGTCTTGCCAAGGTTGGATTTTGCCTCTTGATGAAATTTCAGCCTATGGAGAGCTTTGGTTCTCTGGAGAAGCAATGATCGGCCCAGGGCACTGGGTTGGTGTGACAGGTCACTAAGGAGGTTTGGCAATTTGCACGTCCGCCCTGATGACTCCCCTTGCTTCTGTAGGTGGGAGGCCACCCCGTGGACCGCGTGCTCCTCCTCGTGTGGGGGGGGCATCCAGAGCCGGGCAGTTTCCTGTGTGGAGGAGGACATCCAGGGGCATGTCACTTCAGTGGAAGAGTGGAAATGCATGTACACCCCTAAGATGCCCATCGTGCAGCCCTGCAACATTTTTGACTGCCCTAAATGGCTGGCACAGGAGTGGTCTCCGGTAACTGTGCCCTCTTTCTTTGTTCGTTAGGAGAGTAAGTCCACTCTTAGCTCTCACCATCATGCTCCACTGAGTGCCCTGTACAGTGCCATCCTTCTCTACCTGAGGTCTCAAAACCTGTCATCTTAGTTCCTAGAGGACGAACGTCCCATCTGACCAAACATTTGCTAATCTTTCTTCAATTTACTTCAACTTCGCTTCTTCTCGTCCCAATCGGGTAGCAAATGCCTTCCAAGAATTATTGAGGTTGAATGATCCTCAATCTGTGAGAGCTGCTTCCATGAGATAGCTCAGCTGATTTCATTTTTTATTATGTTTTTTGTCTTATGTAAAAGGGGTGTGAATCGTTTAAAAATATAACTATGGACACATTCACTGAGAAGAAACATGATTAAGTGAAAACAGCACAATAGTTAAAAATAGATATGAAGTAGAATTATTGAAACCCAAAATGCTACCAATACTAGCTGTCACTATTGCTACAGTTGAGCTTAAAACATTATTCTTAGCTGGGTGTGTGGCACAGGCCTATAACCCCAGCTCCTTGAGAGAGTGATTCAAGAGGAACGCAAGTTTAAGGCCTGGTTGGGCTATATAGGTAAACTCTGCCTCAAATAAAAAGTAAATTTAAAAAGGGAAAGGCTAGTGATGTGGCTCAATGGTAGAGCACTTGCCTACTATGTCCGAGGCCACAGGTTCGGGATTAGTCCTTAGTACTGTACAGACACACAGACACATACACACACTCACACACACACACACACACACACACACACACACACACACACACACACACACACGCACACACGGGCTTATTCTTGGTTTCCTGCTTACAGGATGTAAAAATGTAAAAAAGAGGAATGGGGAAGGAGATAGCAAGATGTGGAAGCAAACTACTGTGTCCTTATCCACAAAAACAACAACAACAAACATAACAACAAAAAGCCCGGCACTGTGTCTGTCAGGACAGCTTCAAAAGCCTGGCATTGCCTGTATCAGACCTGCCCCAGGGCTGGCAGAGTTATCAGAGAGGCTCTCTACTTCTGCCCATTGACTCAGCTCCTATGATTTTTTCCCCACTTCAATACAATCAGTTGCATTGTCTATGCTGTGTATAAATTAGCTGTGGTAATAGTTTAACATCTCTTAATATCCTTGTAGGAGTTAGTAGTTCTCATATTTTGGACAGATATGTACAAAGTAACTAGATAAGGTTATATGAGTAATTGAACTTGAGCATACTATAGCTTTGTGTCTCTTTTGTGGTACTCTATTTGAGTGTCTTTGCACATAGTACAACTAATTAATGATATCCTAAAAATGGTTAAAGGATGATTTAATTAACTTCACCTCTGAAGCCCAAACAGAACCAAGATCAAATAACTGGTAAGAAGTGGCTTAAATCCACCAGAAGGACTCATATACATATATGTATGTGAAACTTCATTTTTTTAAGAAGTATACTTATGTATTATGCCTTGGGTGGGAAGTTAAATAAGTTAATCGGGCTTTGCCTATGAGTCTTCTCTTTCTCTCTCTTTCTCTTGCCATCTCTTCCCAGTGCACAGTGACATGTGGCCAGGGCCTCAGGTACCGTGTGGTCCTCTGCATTGACCACCGAGGAATGCACACAGGAGGCTGCAGTGCGAAAACAAAGCCCCACATAAAAGAAGAATGCATCATACCCACGCCCTGCTACAAACCCAGAGGTAACTGAGCAGGGGACCCTTCACCCTTCCTCCATGATGAGGGACAGTCAGGCATCTCAAATCTCCTTGGATTGTTTTCTAATATCCTAAATGTTCTTAGCAATGGTTCTTAATAACACAGACTATATTAAATAGACTTGATTCTCTTTACATCTTCAAATTTTTTTGTCTTATTTTACAATATTTTTAGTTTTTATGCAAAATAATGGTTTTCATTATGGCATTTTCATTCACATATGTATTATTCATATATATTCATATAAGTATATATACGTGTGTGTTTATATGTGTATATATCATTGTAACTTGCACTTACCCTACCACAGCACCTCTCTGTCCCTGTCACTAGTCCATTTTCTCTGCCAAAATAGTCCCCGTTTTTCAGCAGTGTGTGTGTGTGTGTGTGTGTGCGCGCGCGCGCGCACGCACGCGCGCACACACACACACACACACACACACACACACTGATTATGAGAGAAAGCATGCATTGTATTAGTTTTTCTGAGTCCGGCCTATTTCACTTAACATGAGAATTGCCAGTTCAAATGATCTTGACTACATCCTTTATGAAGTAGCACATGTAGAAACCTATGTATACACTTGTCTTCCAACTGTTTGAAAATCATTGCCGAAACATATTGGATTCATCTTCATAAAAAGAGACCAGATTGTATATATATTTATATATGTACATATATATATATGTATGTATGTGTATGTAATTTACTATCCACATTTCCTTTAAAAACAAGGAACGAATCCAAATATTTCTACTTTGCTGAGCCTGGCATATGCTGGGAAGTCACAGACATCAACTGAGAAAGCAGGAAACTGTTACTTCCTATACTGAAAATTAAAGTAATATGAGGCTGAATTCCAGAAGTATAAGTTGACATAGAACTGTGACATATATACGAATTTAATAGATGTCAGAAATGATTTTTTTTAATTTAGAAAAAAATCTACTAAAGCAAGAGGCATTATAATTATACTGGATCTTTCCGACCAATGTGACTATTGATCCCATTTCTATGACAGTATTGTTGGTGTGCCAATGAAACAGGAAAACTCAGAATTACAAACCATTTGGATGTTCAGAACTCTATGCAATATAGCATTTTATTTTTAATGCCAAAGTGGTTCCCATTTCTCTCTTCATATTGTTTCTTTGAGACATTACATTTCTATGAAAATCAGCCATGAGGTAGTGCTACATTATACTTATTATCTGAATGAATAGTATTGTGAGCTCTTAATAGTCTAAAAGGAAAACAAAAGGACAGACCAGAAATCCCAATTATTCTTAATAATCTCACTCTAAAAGTTTACTCTTCTGTAAAATTGGGGAGACATTAGTATCAATATGGGAGATCATGAGAGGGTTACAAGAGCTATGGTGTAATAGGGTTCTTGACCTGCCCCCTGCCTCACACTGGGTTTCCTCCAGACATTACCTTTAAGCAGACTATCATTAATATCTTCAAGTATCAGATGTAGTTGCCACAAGCCCTGGACTCAAGTCAATAGTGGAGCACAAGCCTGCTGTTGGTGCCAAGGTAGACACTTCGTTACACTGGCTGTCATTTAACTGGGGTGGATGGTGGAGTTGTGACATGATGCATGTGCAGGTGCCCTGCACCCATGAGGCTATCGTCTTGACTTTGGCAGCTGCACATTTCTTGCTTTGTTTTGTAGCTATAAGCAATGGCTGCAAATAGAAGACAAGTAGTGAAAACCCAACTAAAAATAGCCAATTATTTATTAGTTCCTATCTTTACCAAGCAGCTTTGGAGGGAAGAAAAATTTGTTTGCAGTTAACTATCAAGAATAAAATCTGGATTTTTCACAGCTAAGCAGTGATCTTGACTCTGTAAGCATCGTTAAAATACTACATAACTCCATAGTGCATGCATATGTGGATATATTTCTTTCATCTTTGCAATTATATGTTATAAAATGGTGACAGAACTTCACTGGCTCATACTATAAAGGCAAATATGCCCATAAATGACCTTAATAAATATGTCAGAAATGAGAATCTTGGCAGTGACTTCTATAGGGGCAGTTAGAGCCTCCCTAGTTCTTTTTCTCCTCCACATTCTCCCCAGGAAGCACTTAAGAAGCTTGTTTGAGTTGTTTGCCCAAAGCTAGATGAATAGGTAAAACACATCAAATCATGGTTTATGGACCTTCAGTGGCAGATGTTTCCATTGTTATTGAACCTTGAGGGCGATATTGAACAAGTCAGAACTTTAAAACAACGTTTTACAAATTTCAGCATGGTAATTTGTTTGGTTTTGATAATGCAACCTAAGATCACACTTAGCCAAAAGGCAAAACAATTATACAAAATACCACAGTATTATTGACTGGACTTTTTATTTTAAAAGGTGTCAATGGTGCTGTGTTGATTCTCTCTACGATTGTTGTCAGTGTTTCTAACATAGGGATTTTCATAATAAAAGGACCTTGCAATTCAACATAGAGAGGAGACGCATGTGTATAGACACAAGTGTTAAGAAACCTTTAAATCCATTGGCCAGTCTTCTTGATGCAACCGTCCTCGGAGCAGCTATTTGCCACAGCAGTAATTATTTGCAATTGTCAGCATGACTTCTACACATACTGCAAAACTAGAACTAAGAATGAGAATGTCATGAACCCTCGGGTAGCTTCTAACCTCTTCCCTTCCCACTGTACTTATTCTCAGAGAAACTTCCAGTAGAGGCCAAGCTGCCATGGTTCAAGCAAGCCCAGGAGCTAGAGGAAGGAGCTGCTGTGTCTGAAGAGCCTTCGTAAGTTCAGGATGGGGACTCTCCTTTTGAAGGGAATTAGCAGCGGGGTCTCACTGCTGTGGCTTTCGTGGATTCTAAGTTATGTGTAACTGGCCTCCCAAGGGGGAGTGAGTCCTCTGGGCTTTCCAGTCAGAGATGGATCTGATGCCAAGTGTTGGTCAAAACTTTAATTGCATTCAAATGAGATTTAGAACTTTTTCATATTCTTCCTGACTGAATCTAAGTTTTTTTCAGTTTTGCCCTATATAGGGAGAAACAAGTAGGGTTCTTGTCCTCTTTAAATTTTTTTTTTCCTTTGGCAAGGAGCCAAAGGTGAGAAATTCCAGGCTGATGATATAAAAGAGATTAGATGGGCTGGGGATAGAGCTCAGTGGTAGAGCTCTTGCTTCCCTAGCATGTGCAAAGCTTTGGGCTTAATCCCCAGTACAATGATGGATGGATGGATAGATAGATGGATGGATGGATGGATAAAAAGACAGACAGACAGACAGACAGACAGATCGGATATGAAAGTCTGAGCACAGCATTCCACTCTCCTTATCCCTGAACTTTGTAGTATGGCTATTAACAAATAGTTAGAAGTAAATAAAATATATATAAAGGTAAAAGGCATGTAATAGCTTTACTTCTTCATTGGAAAGATGGTGGTTTTTACCCAGTTACTTATGGTACTATACAAGTTCCATTTGTAAACTGTGAAATCTAGACCAGTAGACACAGATTTACCACAGACTTCAGAAAGTAAGCCAGAAGAGAGATAAAAGCAGCTTGACTGGTAGAGCTGTATACACTGATTCCACTAGAGATACTAACAGGCATATCTATTGCACTGTTTTCACACAGGGGAATGTACTTTACTGATCCATTCCATATATGATAAAAGCCACTTCACAGTTTGAAGCCTTTCTAGATTACTTTAATGTAGATACTAGGGTCCATATGATTTATGGACATACAAGACATGTGATCCAACCTTCAGGAATTCACAATAGAATACATAGGATATCATATACTTTTCAGTTTCAAGCCGAAGTGTAAATTTTACTAGACACAAATGAAGATATTCAAATGAATTTTTTCTCCAGTTTATCCTGTTTGGATCTAAATCTGATATAATTTTTTAGGAAGTAAAATTGTGTTCCTGAGTTTCAAGAAATTTCAGTAATCAATGGTCACTTGATTTTCCAGAAGTAAATAAAATATATAAAAATAAAAACAAATGGTGCATGCATTAAATACCACATTTTACTTAGGAGAACAATTAAACTAAAAATAAATTATTTTTTATCATAAAGATACCACAGTAAAAAAAATTAAAGAAAAGCAACTAAGGGTAGCAGAATTTTGGAGAAAAGATAGCAGCTGAAGGTCACAAAACAATCTTTAATCAAACAGATGAAGACATTTCCCCTCCTTCTCTGGCTAGGACCTAGTCTCTAGGCAGGACCTAGTTTGACAGATCTTATTGCTGAGGAGGACATCAGGGTCCTTCATTCTGCATCTACTAAGGTTTTATCTGAGACAGAGAAAAGGGTCACATTGCTGGCTCAGATTACTCCTCAAACTGTGTATTGTTTATGTAAACAGTCTGCTGTCCTTATACATTAGATTTTGCCATCTGTTCTGAGGCATATCTGTCTATAATATTGCATTCTAACTAATGTTAAATAATAGAACAGAGTTAAAACTAAACAAAAGCATGTTGCATCTATTATTATACTTCTTTCTGATTAGTCAATACCACTCCAATGAAACCTGTAAGTGGAATTAAATGCTTATGCAGAAGCATATCATAGACCATGATCAGGCATATTTTATGGTGTGCATTTTCCACTAATGTTCCAATTAAGATGCATTATGCTTAATTTTCATAAAAACCCCTAAAGCAGCTAAACACACTTTCAGCCATTGAAATCATAGGCATATAAAATTAAGTCATTAAATTTCACTCTTCATGTAATGGAATTGCCATCTTGGTGTGATTAATCTGAGTTGAAGTAGATTATAATTGGAGTGCCAATTTAATGTAAAGGAAATGTATATAGTTATGTTCAGAACAACAATTACATTAATACCAAAAATGAAATAAATGACAGCTGTAGAATTAGGTAATGAAAGCTATATGTTTTCCACATTTTAATACATCTTACATGTTTAATGTGCTGAGCCCTCAGAAAGGTCTTAAGTGTCACATTTTTTAATTGATTTTGAATTTTAAAAACATAATTTTGCATGGTCTTAATTCTTTCTTTTTTCAAAAAACCACATAGACATGCTTCCAAATGTGTATAACAACCATAATTACTCTCCAAAGCACAATGAAAAAATGATATACTGTCAGCAAGCCATTCTTCCCCCACCAAAGAGGCTCACATTGGTTAAATTAAACAGTAATGTGTGGAAGCTGCAGCTGTCAGTTCTCAACTGCTGCTCTGAGGCTGGAGGGAACAGAGGTCGAGAGCTGTTATCTCGTGTACTAACTGTAGCAGGCTTGGGTGAGTTATACAGGAAAGCAGCAAATATCATCGGTTTTCCCATATGGAAAGTGAAAATATTATCAACAGCCTGTCTCGTTAAATAAATACAGGAAAATCACTGTATTTAAGCTGTTAGCATATGGAAATGTCCTTATTGAGTGTCAGATATTTCTAATAACCCCAAAATAAAAGAAAAAATTGCTTAGCACTAGCCAGAAGTATGTTGGAAGGCAATCTCTCTAAGATATATTTAGAAGAAAACTATGCTAAAAGACCAAAAACTGAATTGCCAAGAAATAAGTAAAATATTGAAGAACACAAGAATGTCCTCACATTGTGATTCCACTAACCTAAACATCGTGTGGATTATATGAATCCAGATATATCTCCAAGAAGCTCTGAAATAAGTATACAGATTGGATCATTTTGTATGATATAGATCCATCATCTATTAAGTTTCATCTGAGGGCTGGAGTTTGCAGCTCAGTGATAGAGATGCTACCCAGTTTGCCCCCACAGCACTTCCAGAAACACAACACAAATGTTCTGAGATGCCGTTTTGTCCCTCAGCAACAGAAGATGGACCTTGGGCAAACAGAGTGTGGCAAATGTGTGCAAAAGTGGAAGTGTGAACTCTCTGATGGGAACCCACACCTCTGTGCTGATTTTGTCCCCTAGACATAGTTTTAACCAGTTATCTTGGCAACAAGCAGCAAGAATCTTATTTTGTGTGTATGGGTATTTTGTCTATATGTTTGTCTGTGTATCATGTGTCCATTGTCCTTGGAGGCCAGAAAGGGACTTAGACTCCCTGGACCTGAAGATACCTACGGTTATGAACCACCATGTGGCAGCTGTGAACCAAACCAGGTCTTCTGCTAGAACAGAAAGTGCTCTTGCCTGCTGAGCCTTCTCCCTAGCCCCAAACTTTTTTTTTATTTTAAGTACAGGAGGGGTATGAGACTAATTAGCCACAGAGGTCATCAGATGTAAGTCATGCCATGTAAGGCCCCCTGGCATAAGTCATCTGATGTGGATTCTGGGAGCCAAACTTGGATCCTCTGGAAGAGCAGCAAGTCCTCTTAACTGCTGAGCCATCTCCCCAGCTCCAGGATGAATCCTTAAACAAAGAATTTTTCTTTCTCCCATTGAGTAAGACAATGCAAATATGATCCAAACATCAAACTGAAAAGTAAGCAGATTCTGGGCTTTCATGAATGAAACCGCTCACAGACAGTCATAAAAATAAATACAGTAGAGTAAACTCATCTCCAAGGTTGTCAGCTGAAAAATCAAAAGAAATCTTTGTTCTAAATGGGGCCACTTGATCACCCCTCTGAGACTGAGGGAACACATAGGAAGAGATGGTAGAAAGATTGTAGGAGCCAGGCGGTGGTGGTGAAATATGTAGCAAAAAGCAGTCCTTGGACATGACATAGCCACTGCACTCATGAACTCACTGTAGCTATGATTAGCTGTAGGAGGCTGAAATATGATTGGGTCAATTAACATTTTAACATTGCATCATAGATGTGGGAGGAACCCATGCAGCCCCACTATTCCTAGAGGGACTATTAGCCATTAACAGTTGTTAGGAGAAGATGTCATCTTCTTCAGCAATATAATCATTGATCAGTGGACCTTGCTTGGGTAAATTACCTCCCACCCCCACTGTCAAAAAAATAAAACAAAACTCTAAGTTCAGTGGATCTCAAACAGATAGACAGACAGATACACACACACACACACACACACACACACACACACACACACACACACACACACGATAGTAGGAGAAGGGCATGCTGAGCAGAAAGATTTCTTTGGGAAAGGGAAGGGAAAATGAGAAAACAGAATGGTGACTGATATGATGGAAGTTCATTAGATAAATGTATAAGGCTGTCAAAAAATACTTTAAAGAAATCCTGTGACCACATGGTTGAAGATAAACATCTACAGTTAAGATTCTGGGGAGTTGGGTTTTCTGAGGGTGGTGGTGCTACTGACATTAGCAAGGACAGAAGAGGGTGTGCTGGGGGAACTTTCCTCTGCTGCTTTTGAACCGGGTTGTTTCATTAGGTTTAACACTAGCAGACCAAGTGGAGTCTATCAGGTTGTTTCCAATGAAGTAAAGGAATCGCCTTTAAATCATCAGAAGTAACTTTATTTGGTGGTAGTTCAAAATTGCAGTGTAGTTGTTCAATTGGATACTTTGATCAGGTAGAAACTGAAACTGATCTCTCCACCTTGCTTTCAGTCTTTGCTGAGATAGATGTACATATCACCAGCTCTACCACTTGACAAGTACAAATTATGACCTCTTTGTCAGCTTAATTTCTTGAAAGAAAAAAAAAATCTCATACAACGGTGATCTCCAAGACTTTTAAAGTCTCATCTGATATGGAACTGGAAGGAAAATGTTCATCTCCTTAACTCCTTCAAGTGGGAACAGACTCCGTAATGTCCTAGAGGGCAGCTTTTGAAGGGAGCTATATTTACAACAAACAAAGTCTGAGCAAGATG